GGTGCTTAGTTGCTGGCTGGGGCTAAACCACGACACAGAGACAGCAGTGTTCATGTGGCATATTGCTTAGGGAGAATAGCTTTCTTCTCATTCATCAGAGCAGACCTAGTCTCATGCTCCAACAATATCCCCCATTTACCTAGAAGAGGCACATGTGGGGTCCAGATGAGTGCTGTCTGTTGAAGAGTTGCAGAGCCACACAAAGCATAAGGCAAGCCTACAGTGCCCTGCACAGTCTTTCCAAAAGCCAAGTTGCAGGCTCAGTCCCTGCCCCATGCTAGGCTGTCCTGAAATTTCTTGTCTCTACTAGACCAACTTTATCATCAACTATTATATCCTCATAGCACAAATTTGAATCAGGAACTATGTGCCCTAGACACTTTATGCAGCCTTGGAAATCTGGGTCTGGAGCCAAGCAATCAAAATCAGAGAAGGAGAAAGAGAGGTATTAGTTTCTTTACAGAAGACAGAGAACTCTCAGGTGGCAGAATAAAAATGGTCCCTGAGAGCATAAAATAATTGTTAATTAGTTACATCACCATCATCACTTGTTATTCACTGTATTGATTTTAATTGTCTCCTTCTAAAGCATCAGTCAAATATTACTCACTGACACCAATGAAGCGTTGGCTCACAAGCCCAACAAAGCATGTCTTGTCTTCTCAAAAGAATAACAAAACAACCTAGACTTCCCAGTAGTATCTGATGTGCTGAGAGTGCCCATTTGTCTGCAGACAGCTTTTACGGCCTCACTGAAGAATATGATTCCCTTTACTGGCCAGGATTATTCTCCCTGTGGTGGGAATACATACCTATTTATGGGATCCACATAGAGGAGCTGCATTTAATTTGACATTTGCATACAAAAAAGTGAGGTCATGCATCCATTGGTAGTGAAATGGTGCTCTGATTCTACAGCAACTATTTTGCTTTCAAAAGCACAAAGAATCCCTGTTAGTTTCAAAGCATGGTCGGCACAGGAGACATACCAGGAAGAGCTCTTGGTCATTTCACTCTTCAGCAAAACTTGCAAAATCTTGGAAAACCTTACTACTTGCTGAATTTCTCCTTATCCAAGCAATTAAAAAGCCAAACAGCTCAGTATTTTATGCCCTGTGCTGAGTTTGATGGAATTTCATGCGGCATAAAGTCCTATGCCCTCGGAATCACTGTGGCAGTCCTGTCGGCATTTCTGCTGCAAAATGCGCCTAGATTCTCAAGGAAGAGGCTTAGGTCACTTCATTAAGACACATAAAGACACAGACTAATGCCCTCCTAAATGTAGGGTTAGTTCTCCTTTGACAGGCCTGAAGTGTACGAATCAACTCCTAGCTCAAAGGGGGAAATGAGAAGGGAGAGTCAAATAAACTGAATTGAGCAAGACGAAGGTCATATAAAGGTTTTGTGAACACGTGTGTCTCTCCCTGTCCTTTCCTTCCATCCCATAACTATTATCTCTTCCTCCAGACTGACGTGTGAGCTTGGTTGTGCTCTCAGATACATTGGTTTAGATGAACCACCATTCACCTGGTGTTTCCATACCAAAGAAAAACAAAATGCAAATCAGGCCTGTGATACTTTTGGTCCACTCAGAACCTCTAGAGATCGTCCTGTTCATCATCGCCAATTAATGAGATTGAAGCTCAAAGTCTGCTGTGCACAACCCCTACTCCAGACCAAGTGAGTTGCTCTTGGAGAAACAGGGAAAGAGGAACTTGTGGAGATGAGCCAAGGAAAGAGGAGACAACAGTCCATATGTAAATACCACAAGAAAGATGCTACTATCATTCTCTGCTTGTATAAATCAAATTTGCCACCTCACAGAACAACAAATTCTTCCCCCTTAACCTCAAAGCCAAAATTTGACATTACTGAGACCTAGCTGCAGAAGAAAAAGATCTCCCCTCAAAGCGGCAACTCAGTCTACCAGTTCCTTGCAAGTATAACAATATGCTGACAGGCACAGACAGCTCCACAAAGCTCCTGGTAGGTGGATATGCGGATATGCAAATCTGTATCTGGATTTCTTAAAATCAAAATATACTACATTATCCCAGTCCCCTTGCATGTATCTGGAGATTTCTAGTGGCAGGCAGGAAATATAAACCGGGTATCATGCAATGAACTGCACATGTAGCTGACAACATTCATCATCATCAACAGAATATGCATGCATCTCATAATTGACCATCACTATACAAAAAAATCTATATTCACATTTGGGACAAATTTTTCAGGGACACTGCCTCTTAGCCTGGGCGACTGACTATCTAATAAGTATCTCCACAAGAGATTCAGGAATAGGATTTTTCCTGCTCCTAGGTTGTAAAACTGCTATCAAGCAAAAAGAAGCAAATTATTAATTTCTCAATTTAGTGACTGAGCTGTAAAATCATGGAAAAGAATATCTGGAAATCTTCCAAATAAATCAAACTAAAAAAAAAACCTCATGACAATTTTTTCTATTCATTTTTATTTCGTTTTGCTTGGCCTTTGTCTATTGGGGTTATTTTTCTTAAAATGTAGCTACATTTAGACATGAAACAAGTGAGGAACAATGTATCGATGCATTCAATTTTGAAAATGCTTAAATGTAAATTTTAAGAAAAAAAAAATCCCTTCCTTCCATCCAAAACTATTCACTGAACACAGCCACTTTTCCACACCTTTCAGCCGGCCCAGGACTACATTTATCAATGAACAATCTTTCTGCCTGAAGAATTTCACCTGTATGTACTCCAGAAAGGCTGTTCCTGCCCAATGGAAGAAGCCGAAAGTCTCTGCCCCAAGACATCCCAGACACGGGGCAGAGATCAGGAGGACTCGTGCAGTCCAACAGCCACTGCCTGCTTACAGGGTTTAGGTGACAGTCATCCTTTAAGTTTTTGGGCTCAGGTCACACCTGTATGGCTTTTCTTCATTCAAAATCACAGGTCCCACACCTATTAAAATAGCAGTAGCTGTATGGTGTGTCTGGCTTCAGCTTTTTTGGAAAGACAGGAGGGAAGGGGGAACAGGGGACAGGACACTGGACTTAATGTAAAACTCAGCAGTTCCAAGCATTCACTTCAGGAAAATGCCTTGGCAATGCTGATTTAACTGGAAATACTCACAAAGAGCACGAGGTTCGCCAGAGAACATAGTGAGAGGTATTAGAGGACATTTGTGTTCTTAGTGGAGGGTCTTAAACTGGGAAAATTCCCTCACGAATTATTGCACCACATTGGGGCATCAGGTAAATGTATGTGCCACTTTGTGCTTGGCAGTGCTATGAGGCTTTACATCCTACAAATCTATAAATTGAATTCATCCTGCTTACACCCTTAGTCTTATAAATTGTTAGACTAGGAATGGCTAATGGATCAGCTGGTGATTTATTTTTAAAAGATGCGTATTGCTGCTTTTTGGGAACTGAAAAGGATATAGACACTGGATGTACCCTTCCTGAAGCCTGGGTCCCAGGTAATGAGGAATTACTTTGTATCCTCCCCTGTCCCCATGCACACGCTTTATTCAAGTTGTCAGAGTGGACCTACTGTTCAAGAAGAGAAAGGGCTGGCGTTGTGCAGAGATGTACTGCAAAGGGAACCGCACGCAAAGAGCGGATGAGGCATCAGTAACGCTGCCAGGTAATGTATAATGCAAAAGGATGTGTATAACTAATTTATTAGTATAAAGTTGACTCTTAAAAAAAAAGCATTTGCAAAGAAAACTCTAAAGGAGTAAACCCTACCTGCCTCGCTCCTTGAGACAAACCCTGACCTCACTAAAACTGTCTGTGTAAAATGAAGGAGCTTCACCACAAGTGATGCTACAATTTACAACAGGAGACTCACTCCCGTACCTGCAGCATCAGTCAGTGCGAGTGCCGCCAATCATAACAGAAAGAAGGATCCATCGTTTCCCAAAGGCTTCTCCTCTGGCTTAAGTGGGAGCATGCTGCTTAGCCCAAAAGAGCTGCTCTTCGAGCCCATCCCTGAAGTCAAACAAAGTCACTTACCTTTTAGAGAGGCGACATGGGATAAAGCTTGTGCGTAGGTGGCTGTGTTGAGAAGAGTCCCCGGCAGGCAGGAAGGGAAGAAAGGTCCTGTAGGACCCACTGCTCGACTCAGGCTGATGGAGAAGAGAAAACAACTTACAAAACCAGAACTAGCCAATTCCAAAGACAGTGTGTGTGCATGCACACAAACACGCTGGCGCCTCACTGTCCAACTGGACGGGACCAAGCTTGGATAACATTAGCCTCCCACAGCCAACAGATTCTCAACATCTCCATGGGGAGCAGTGAGTTGCAAGAGAGACAGCTCATCTTCTAATGATTTGGGCTGTACCTGAAGATGGTACTGCGTAGGTCAAGGCTTACCAGCAGGCAAGTCTCTATGTACATACATACGTATGATGCATGCTTGCCCCAGAGAAAGGCAGCTGATAACATGTATTACTCTTACCTCTGCTGGATCTCCAGACTCTCTTTTTTATTCCTGGTTTGATCTGCTGGAGAAGGGGAATTTAAATTCCTTGCAGGAGGTGCCACCTCAGGCATTGTCTCCTTAGAGCCCTCTTGGTCTGAAGCACCCCTCTCTGTTTTTCTCCATTTAGCTCTCCGGTTTTGGAACCACACCTGGAGCAAGAGAGCAATCCAGGATGAATACCACGTTTAGCCAAATGCGAAGCAAGGAAACTGTAAATTGTTAATGTAGTGAAATCCGTCATTTAGAAGCTTGGCTAAAACTTCCTCTTATTTTGTGTCCCCATTGTTATTCTAGTTGAGCCTTAGGATTACATTTGTATCTGGAATATTTCTGTGTCTGGAAAACAAACCAGGAATGTCTAAAGACATTCAAAAGTCATGTTAAAAATAAAAAAAATAAAAAAGAGTTTTGATGTTACTGTGCCAGTTAGCAAAACATTTAAATGCGTGCTTGCCTTTATGCACACATTTAGTTCTCACTGATTTCTACGTTTTAACATGTCTAAAAGCCTTTTGTATAAGGACGGACTTAAATACATATCTAAGCGCTCTGACAAAACCGTATATGTCTTTAAATGAGCTGCTGCTAGAATCAGAGAGGTCAGAAATGAAAAGGTATGTATCGGGCCATCTTATCCAGCCCACTTCACAGAGAGGACGGATACTTTCTGTTATTCCTCTGATGTATTTTTCCAGTCTGCATTTAGAGGACTCAAAAGGTAGTAGATACTAATTTTGGAAAATCATTCTGCAGTTTAATACACATCAGTTCCAAAACTTTTTTTTCCTGTAATGCAACACAAATATTCATGTTCTTGATTTTATCCACCCGACTTTTAGTCCAAACACTTCTTTTTTTTCCATTTACCTTGGAGCTGACGCTCTGAAAGCACCTTATTTGAGGTGGAAAATGCCAAGCCTCTCTTGAGGTCAGGAAATCCACATTTTAATACATGACTTCAAGTATAGGCGAGATTGTTATTATTATTATTCTCCTCCTACAACTCCATTTTAGTTAGCTGCCTTTTAATTGCATGTATCAGCAAACGTTGAATAATGATTTTATCTATATTCTAAATTTAGAGCAGTTAAATGCAAAGCAAAATGCAGACACTTTCTTGTGTCTTAATTGAATGAAGGTCACAGCTATAACAACATTTAATTGAGCTATTTTTCATTATCATATTTTAATGACTTTGCACTGACAGTTCGCCTGCTTCTGAGGAAAGAGCATGATGAAGTCGTTTATTTCCCTATTTAGTTATTGTTTGACAACATCATCTTCGATTAAGACTCTGCTTTATAGCACATTAATCATATTTGAATGAGCAAGGGGTATAAATGTAAACATATCTCCCATCCTCTGTGTTTCCCCATGTCCCTGCATGAAAGCAGGCTAAACAAATGCTTGCATCTATTGTCTGTTTGCATAATAGGCAACAACAAGGCTAAACACCAGTCCTCAGCAATCTAATTGTCACCACCCCTATCTCACCCTTGCACCTTTCAGGAAGAAGTTATGATCTTCCACTTCTGAATGCTCAATAATTGTGCCATTTATCTCAATTTGCAGTTCAGTCTTTAGGCACCAATAGCCAAAATGGCATTTTTTATTATTTTTTTAAGCCAGTACCTACAATGCAGTGGCAAAAGGAGATTTTCATTTCCAAATAATAATCAGTTTAATTTGCCCGCATATGACCAATGATTCATGTTCAGATTTAATAATCAGGATCGCATAATCTGATTATAGGAGAAATAATTTGTTTACAATCCCCAATTTACTGCGGTGAATTCCATTATCTCTCTTCAGCCATTGGGTTTTAAGAGATACTAACATGACCCTAGGGAACAAAAGGCAAGCTATTATATTTCCTACAATTAGATCTTTGCATAGTCTTAACCCCGAGCACCTAAATAAAAGAAAATACAAAAACAGCGTGCAGAAAAGCCCCATAAATAAAACGAATACATAATCGCGTTCAAAAAATGGCTTGCAACTCTGTGGTGGATGCCTGCAGAGTTATAGGGATCCACCTCTGACAACTGCAGGACTGATGTTCTTAGCAGAGCTTATACACACTCAAAGTCAATCCCTGGATACGGAAAAACAAACACCTGCGTCAAAAAAAGGGGGGAAAAAGAGTGGGGAGAAGAAAGGAAGGGGTGATAAAGAGTGGGGGTGGAAAGAGAGAGATTGTGGCCGATGGTATTTATTGGATCATATTAAAGGCGTGGGAATTGCTCTGCAGGCTCTTTAGCTGTCTAAATTAAGTGTTTAGAAAGAAGGCAAAAGGGAGAAAAGTTGAAGAGGTGTAGAAGATTTCTTCCTGGCAGCTGGGCTCCCTGCAGTTGACTAACCTCATTGCTCGACAGTGGTCATAGTTGCTTTGGAGAATCACGTCTCAGCTCTTTTCTCCACACACACCCCCTCCAAAAGCAAGGAAATGGATGTGCATTGATGTAATTTAGTACCTTGGAGACGCGGACAAATTAGTGTAGAACATTATCACTAGTTAATTATGAATGACCGATTAATCAACCTAATCTAATATTCCACATTATGTTGATGTTATTAAAGTGCATCATGAAAATGACAGATCGTCTTCATTTGCGTTCTTTGGCCAAATGTGCACTCTGCAGTCATGATGTCAAAAAAAAAAAAAAAAAAGAAAAAGTTTGCCAGTTTGAATACCCGAGAGTTAAATAATTCCCCAGAATGTTTACCTGCACCCTGGCTTCCGTGAGGTTGATTTTCATAGCCAGCTCTTCCCTAGTGAACACATCGGGGTAGTGGGTTTGAGCGAAAACAGCTTCCAGGGCCTCGAGCTGGTGGAGGGGAGGAGAGGGAACATGGGTCAGGGCAGGGCCTGGGGCGCCGGC